ATTGAGAAGGTGCAAGTGGATTGATCATGGTCGTCACAGCTTCCATTGCATTTGGAGACAGAGGACAGTCAACTTCTGGGACATGAACTCCAGAAGGTTCTTCACTGACACCATCAAACGTTTCCCAGTCAGTTCCAAAGAGCTCTGGGTTCTATAAGCAAAAATCAATGACTTCTAACTGCCAAATAATAATGTTTAAGTTGCATTAAAACTAACTCAATGAGCTAATGTAAATGTACCTGTTAGAAACTCTTTACTTAGAGCGCCTGTGTCAATGCCAGATTCCCCAAAAAAAGAAACCTTCAGTCGGCAGTTTGGACGGGATTTTTTCTGGCGTTGCCACTGTTGCATTCCTCTACTAAAGAGATCAAATCTTGACACACAAAGGGAAAATGTGCAGCTGTCGTCCACTTGGCCGCTGAGCCAGTTCAAGATTTCCTCTGAGCTAAAAAAATTATATAACAAGAAATGTGTTAAATTATGCTCCTGAAAAGGAAAAGGGCTTCTGTTCTGATAAACTAAATATATGCAACATCAACAGCATGGAAGTGACATACATTTTAAAGGAATAAAGGTCACTTAACTTAATAAATTTATATCCATGGGGTAGCCGAGGGTTCTATTTCACATAAAATAATATCATGTCCTATGAACTACACATTAGTAGCACTCATGCAGTCCTTGATGACTAGGAATCCATTACACTTTCCCTGACACAAAGCAGTCTAAAAATCAATTAAATATAATGTCTACAAGAAGGGACGAAGCAGACAAGACATCTTGAAGAATATTATAGTCCTTCAGTGTCTGTAGCAAGATGCTGCAGATCTTTTCTGGTCTGTAGTGTGTTGTTTCTACTGTCATTTTCTGTAGAGGCAGAATCAGATGCAATTGACATAAAGCATCAGGGTAACATAGTTGAAAAAAGCTTGTTGAGCTTCATCCAAAAAGAAAGCTAGCTCTGTTCTGGGGGATATCTGGAGATGATTTTACAAGGAAGTATTATTCATAAAACGAAGAACATTGTGGACAACCATGGGCATGTTCTTCATCAGACTGTCACACAACAACAGAGTGTCTTCAGTGAAACCACTACAAGAGATCCTTCCTGCATGCAGCCATGCACAGCTTATTGAAAAAACTCCAATAACAGGAGTTATACAAACATTTGAGTTGTTCATTGACAGCAAATAAGTTAGGAGTGGGAAAACTGATAAAGAAATATTACCAACACTTTCTGAAAGAATAATGTAAAAATATTATGCATTCTTTTGCTAGAAATTTAATCAAAATATAAATAATTGGAGCTCCTGTCTTTAAATAATGCATTTTCCTCTATAAATATGGCGAAATGGAGTTTTGTTTTTGTTTACCTTTGAAAGTAGTTACTCTCATCCTCTGAGGTGCTTATATTGCATTCTTGGTTTGAAGATCTGTAGGAATAATAATTAGAATTCATATATGGATAAATCACTGACTACATGAAATGTTTTTTNGCACTGTATGTACCTTTGGGTGTGGCTTTATATATTTTTTTTTCCCATTTTATCCTTTTCATTTTTTTCCCCCTTATTGATGTCAAAATTGAGAAGCAAATCAAACAAGAAATGTTATTTTTTGACAAAAATCTCAGCAGTTTCATCTGTGTGTGTGTCTGGGCGGTCAGGCTCATGTACATACATCTCCCTTCTCCAAGAGACTTCTTCAGTCTAAGAGTCACCTGTAAACTCAGCCTGTTAAGCAGTACTTTTGCTCCAAATTAGCAATGGAAATTGTTACAGGTAGTCACATGCAAAAGATACCCTCTGCCCAATGACTGATTGATTGGATCATGGAGGTCGCTGGGTCCAGTTGTCTCCCTTCCAATGCCGTTATTGTGAGCATGAATCAGCCCTCTGAGGACAACAGGCCAGGAATAAGACTTGAACGATCAGCACGTGACTAACCAGTTTTGATTTCCATCATTAACTTGTTGCAAAAGTACTGCTTATAAGGCTGACTTTACTGGTAACTCTCTTGCCTGAAGAGGTCTCTTACAGAAGAGATGAATTTTTTCTACAAAGAAGAATCTGTTCAGAGGACTTTTTTTTTAGCAAAAAACATAGTACAGTGTTTAGCTGGATTTTAAAACCTTCCTTACCTCTGTTATAAGGTGGAACAGTTCTGAATCTGTGACATCATTAGTTGACACCTGGATGCTGTCTGAATCACCAGAGCAGAGGTATCTGTAGCACCATTCACGCATGAAGTTTGGGAGGGGTCCGCCTTGAGCCATACTCGCTACCATAACTTCTCCAGCCATCCTAAAGATCAAGAAAAAATTATGTACTTAGTATAAGTGTATTAATTAAATGTAATTATTTAAGGCAAAAAAAATGCTTTATGTACCGGAAGTAGTTAGTATCCAGGCTGTTAAGGCAGTACAGAGGATTTTTGCCCTTCTTGTCTGCACTGCCCACAAACAGTTTGTTTTCTATTTCAGAAACCATTTCTAAATTGAACAACAACAAGAAAAAAAATTATATAAAGTGTGATCGAATAATGTTTAAGTTCCATTAAAACTAACTCAATGAGCTAATGTAAATGTACCTGTTAGAAACTCTTTACTTAGAGCGC